TGAAGGGTTTGGGTACCGCGGGAGTGTGGTCGCAGACGCAATGGCCTTCCCCACAATAAGTTAGTAGGGAGTACGGATCACGCGATGACGTTTAAGCAATGCATGTTGATTAAGTGCTCGTCCTGTAGTGCAGTACGGCAAGTGCGGCGCAGGAAGGCGCAGACCAGAACTGGCCAGAGGACAGGGACTGATACTGTAGTTCGTTACAAAGATTAGCTGAGAACAAAGCGCTAAATCCAGACAACGCAAGTTCGCCAGTCAACCGTGCAAGCAAGTGCAAGTCAGAACCCCGCCCACCCGCCCGTCGATGTGGTGGGGAGAGGGGAGGAGGACGAGCCACGAAGGGAGCACCAGGGCTAAGAGGGGCGTCACCAGCAGGAGGCGGAGGCTAGGATTTGGGACCGGAGCCGCGAGGGACACGAGTGGGCCGAGAGGCGTCGGTATAACGCTCCAGGACTTGAGCGCTGCGTATCTGGGAGAACGCGTGGAGCTCCGCGCGGGATGCGCCAGCGGCCTGCATGGCCTGGATAGTACCACGACGAAACCCATGAGGAGTTTGCCCGACGTAGACACCAGCCTCCTCCAGGTGTTTGCCCACTCGCATGGCTAACGCGCTGCTGGAAAATGGACGCTCCACGAAGCGTTGGTGACCCCGGTCAGTGGGACGGAAGAGGTAGTCGGAGATTGCAGACCCTGGGGGGGCGTCGGGGGCATGGCACAGCTGCCAATAGAGGGCGAGGGTGCGGATGAAGCAATGTCGCGGAGAAGGGTCGGGACGCAGTTCCAAGGGGGGGGCTCGACGCCCCTTGGATGTTTTGGTCCCGAGTTGTTCGATCCGTAAGGAAAGTGAGGGGTAGGCACCAAACGGGTCCGGCAGAGGTAGGGGAAACCCACGGAAGGGACCCCCACCACGCGGGTCACGGAAGTCACGTAGCCGCAGTTTGCCGGTGTCGTGGCCGCGGTAGCTGGTGTGCCACATGAATTGGCAGCACAACAGGTCGCGTAGTAGCAGCAGCCGGGTCAGGGAGGTGGTGGAAGCCTGGAATCCGGACCAGAGGTGGTCCATGAGGGTGGTGAAGTCGCTAGGGCTGAGTGGTACGGCGGCTTGCTCCTCTA